AGATTACAAATGTTCGTATTATCAAGTTACAAATGTTCCTTTTTCATTGTTAGCATGGTAAAACAGAAATATCTTAGAATAAAACAATTCTTCTTTCTAAATAATGTCTCAGATCGCATAAGAGTTTTTGAAGAAGTGGATACCCTTGTCTAGTTTCTACTTTCTGCATTAACAACGTGTCAACACTAGAAGGTTTTCAATTTCGTGGTTGATTCTTCAAAACTGATTTATTCCGAAGTATTTATAGAAAAATATTTTAATCAATTTGATCAAGTTATTTCATAATGCTTTCTTTCTTAGTTTGCATTCGAAGTAATTGTAAATAATTAGCCTATCATTTTTCGTGTTTTAAAGTTGACTCAGTCAAAACATTTATAACTATTACTTATTCTATCTACATAAATTTCTAAACACTGGATAAAAATGTGATTATTATCAGAGTAGTTAGTGGAAACTTCACTATTTGTTTTAAAACACAATTAACTGAATTCATCACAACTAATCACAAATCGCATGTTCTAATTTCATTACTATCACTTTATAATTTTACAATGATAGCTACTGCTTTATGGTTCTTGTTATGTGAAAAGAGTTAAGATAAAAGAAAGATTTTCTGGAACATTAAATTTTCCTTAATTGCCAAAGTTTGTTTTGTTTGTTTGTTTTTAATTTCAAACAAAGCTACACGAGGGCTATCTGCGCTAGCCGTCCCTAATTTAATGGTGTAAGACTAGAGGGAAGGCAGCTAGTCATCACCGCCAACTCTTCGGCTACTCTTTTACCAACGAATAGTGGGATTGACCGTCACGTTATAACGCCCCCACGGCTGAAAGGGCGAGCATGTTTAGTGGGACGGGGATTCGAACCCCCGACCCGCAGATTGCGAGTCGAGCACCCTAACCACCTGGCCATGCCGGGCCATAATTGCCAAAGAAGTACAAATGCGTGGCTTAATAATCTTCTGATTAATCACTAACAACTGCCTGTTTTTATCAAATTTAGTAGTGATAAAAAATTGATTTTTTTTTCTCATTTTCTCACCTTTAACAGTGAATTTTCGGAAATTTTAACCAGTAATAATCAGGAAAAAGACATTTCTATCGTCGAAAATTTTGTTAATTGTCTTCTAATTACTAAAATGAGAATAGTTGCTCTAAAACGTATTTCCTTTTCTTCCAGTTCTAAATTTAAGGTGTAATTTAATACAGTTTTAACTATATTGTTTTAAGACTAAGTAAAATGCTAAATACGTGAACATATTGAAACTCCGAATAGTCCATGTTGTCCACCAGTGGCACAGCAGTATGTCTGCGGACTTACAACGCTAGAATCCGGGTTTCGATACCCGTGATGGGCAGAGCACAGATAACCCATTGTGTAGCTTTGTGCTTAATTACAAACATTTACAAACAAATAGTCGGTGTTACTGGTATACAAACACAGGTAATTGCTTAAGGACATACGAAATCAAAGGAAAAAAAACTGATGTCACTATTTTTATACTAATCTTATAATACCGATAGAAAGATACATAAAACTAAAATTAGTACAGTTGTTTACGAAAAAGTGTGTTTATTTCGCTGTTGTTTGCAGACATCTAGTCACTTCGTTGACAACTTAGGATATATCAGAACTGTCGTCTTCATTTTAAATTGACACTTCGAATATAGTTTGATTTTGATTAATCTATCACAAATAAGGTAAGTGCATCTGTGATCAATCAAAACACCAACAACATAGTTTAATTCCATAAAAAATATCTTAATGAATAAATTAAAAGGTTATGAATGATTTAGGGGGAAAATATGAATTACTGTTGTAGTTTAACTACAAATGCATATGCTATGTTACTTGTAATAATATACTAAGCAAAAGGAAGTTATGATAGTTGAGTGGCTATGGCAACAGTAATAATGTCATCTATCCGTTTATGCAGATGACAAGAGTTGCACAGATACAAAAGATGGCGCTTTCGTACAGTACGTTTGTTTAATAATAAAGTCATCGAAGTACTTTTGTTTGTTTGGAATTATGCACAAAGCTACACAATGGGCTATCTGTGCTCTGCCCACCACTGGTATCGAATCCTGGTTTCTAGAGTTGTAAATCCGCAGACATACCGCTGTGCCTTACAGTTCGTGAGATCGAAAATGATGAACAAATAGTTATTGTAACTTCAGCAATGTTTTAGTTACTGTTTGTTATTAAGCACAAAGCTATACAAAGGGTTACCCGTGCTCTTCTCACCACGAGTATCGAAACCCGGTTTCTAGCAATACAAGTCTGCAGACATTCCGCTGTGCCACTGGAGGGGCAGTGTTTTAGTGTTACTTTTTTGCATGAATTGAAAACTGTGCCTAAATTATAGTATAAATTATTTTATAAATGTTAAAGCGGAGTGGGAGAGATCTTATAGTTCAGATGTTTTAACCAAAGAGAGACAGACATGAAATTACAATTTATATATACTAAATACATTTCATGGATTTGGTTGATTGGCAATATATCGTTAGTCGCAATCGCGGAACATGAATGTCCTCAAATTCAGTGGCCAGAGCTTGTGTCTAATTGAATAAACTTGTCTAAAAAAAAGTCTAATTTGGTAAAATGAGATACTATTAAGGACAAGCCTTCCTGCTTGCTATTGATACAATATTTGTATTTGTAAGTTATGCTTCAATCCAGCCAGAAGACGACATTTTAGTAGATCCTGTCCTGTTCCACAGTACGTGTAATATCAAGCTTACTGATGCTGGTAGGTTCAGGTTTTGAAGTAGGACGTACAAAGATCGGCCAGAAGATTTTTCCAGGATTGACTTCACGCTGGTTACCTTATGATTTCTTGCTTCAAAACAAAATATTATCCAATGCCGCGTGAATAAATTTCCCTATAAAATATGTATATATATACGTTTAATCATACTGAAGTTTCCCCGCATTTATATGTTAGGGAAAACAGAATTTAAGGTGTAAAAACTACATATTCTATGTATATACAGATCCTTAATAGATTTCCAGTAAATTAAAAATGAATTATTTATAGGAGCAGTAGTTTTTCAAAATATCTTTTCTTAGATTATTTCATAACATCAAAACTTCAAACTTCACACGTTGGAAACAATGATAATCGGAGAGTTCGTGAGGTACACAACCACCTTCTTTAAGGGGTTTTCCTATATTCCTTAGATGTTTACTTATTGTATCATGAGAGACATGCAATTTCAGGGCCATTTCACGAGTGTTTTGCCTTGGGTTTGACTCAACAAGCGTCTTCAGAGCACCAATATCATTTCTAACATGTCGGCCACTGCCATCACAATTTTTAAGGCTAAAGTCACCTGAACGAAATTTTCTGAACTATAGTTGACACTTACGAATGTTCAAAACATTTCCACAAACTTCTTTGATGTTCTTTATGGCTACAGAGGCGTTGTTTCCCTTCTTGTATTCAAACATCATTACATGCCGAATGTGTGTCTCGTCGTATGCCATCATTATGAAGGATTAAAGTATACTAAACTTTACATATTATATAGGCTACACTAACGTGACGTTTATGCGGTTCGTTTAACTATAATACGTGATGTACTTTTTTTTTGGGGGGGGGGGGTTAATGAAAGTGTTCCAAAACGCGACATTAATTTCTTGACGACCTAATAATAGTTATGTTAAAGCGTTCTCGCCTGTCGTTCGAAAAGTTTTGTTTTGTTTGAAGTTAAGCACAAAGCTACACAATGGGCTATCTGTGCTCTGCCCACCACGGGTATCAAAATCCGGATTCTAGCATTGTAAGTCTGCAGACATACCGCTGTGCCACTGGGGGGCTCGTTCGAAAGGAGTCTACGTTTATATTAATGTAGATTCAGTTGATTTTGCACAGCAGGATCTACAGGGAGGTCAAAAAGTCCGCGCACCCCCCTTTTCACCCCAGATTTAAAGCCCACGTTAACAATTAAGTTTTTCGCGTTTTAGTAATGGTTGTGGTAGAGGAACGATACGAAACAACTGATTATTTGAAACAAAAACTGTTGAAAGTTTCACTAAAGTCACTCCTAAGGCGTTTGTCACATCGCACATGGAGACGTATCATTCATTCTATGTCATGAAAATGAAGGCCTACAGGCAGACATTTTCGATTATCAATCAAACCTTTTATTAGCCTGTGACAATATGAGATATGTAAATATATCAATATAGAATAAATTATTTCTTTAATGTACCCTATCTTTATTTGAGGGAGAGGGGTGCCTTTTTGCTCACCCTATACAAGAATATTATCACATGCTATGTTTCTCATTAAGCCACAAACTGCACTGATATAATCGTATATCATGTCTATCGTCCAAAAAACAGTCAACAATGCTATAATAGCGCATTATATCTGTTGTTTAGAACATCATTCACGTTGATATAATTTATATATCTTGGTCGTCTTACATATTGGAATGTGATATAATATGTTTCTGAATGGCTTGTTAATGACCTGCCACAGGTTGTACAATGCCCTTCAAGTGGCATGACAGGAAACTGTTGATTATGAACTGTATCAGGTTGATCTTACGTGTTTTACATAAAACACCTTTCGTGTGAACTTTCTATTTGCAATATTATTAAATAAAATAATGTTATGGAATTGTAATAATGGTTATTATCGTAGAAGATTCACATTTGTTGCTGTTATATAAGCATATAATACACTGTATGCATTTTTCAACTTTCACCTCGAAATGAATCGTGTGTTTATTAAACAACTATAATTCAATAACAAAAAATAAACAATCTATGCTTTTAAACAGAAAGTTACTATCGAAATTATAAGCATCGCTGCTTCCATAAAGTTTACAGAAAGTCTGAAGTGAGCGATACATATCTGCAATATAACTTAGTGAGGATATTGCGAGAGCATTATATATATATTTTGTGTTAAACATCTTGTCTCAAATAATATATGAAAGAAGTTAAAAGAAAAAGAGAATTGTTTCAAAACTGGCACCAATAAAAAAACACTGCAGGTCCTTTAGAGAATTGCTCAGCTTTTTATTTACTGTTATTCCTTGGAACGTTTTTTAACATTGTAAAGGGACGTCACTAAACCTGCCTCAAGCCTTTTTGACAGTTGCATTAGAACATCAGAAATAAATACAAAGAAAAAAAGACGCATATTGCCTAAAGAGAAACCCTTCTTAGGAACAGATGAGAACTACGAACCAAAAAAAAGGAGAACTGGCTGAATTTATCTTTACAGATCACACAAAAATACAGTACTTTTGAAACAAGCCACACTCAGACTGAGCCTATACATTGGTCTTTTTATGAACAAGTCGATAATTATACGAATCACAGATGTATTCGCAAACAGTTATTTGAATAAAAAAAGATTAGGGTTTGTAAGTATTAGAGACACCTTTCTGTCAAATATATTTTATTAAAAATTAAAAGTGGTTATTTAACACTTTTATGTACTTCAAATCAAAAAAGTTAAAATCGTGAAGTTCGCTATTCAAGATATTTTAAGAGAATGCTTCCCGAATTTTCGAAAGGACTCAACGCCACTTCATTTGTATAAAGTGATAATAATTAAATTTAAATACATTTGATTTGCACTTGTTCCCGTATTTAAATAAAAATGAATAAGACCGTTTGTATTAATCATTTACCTTTCCCGTTTTCTAAGTAACATTAAGACGTTCAAGGCACAATTCTTATGATTCTACCGTGTTTTAGTTTCACTGAAGTCCAGTTTGAGTTTCTTCGCAGTCGTAATTAACTTGTAGAAACTATTTAATAACAACCACTCCAACATCAATCACTCTACAATTGCGCTCTTGAAAACTTACATAGTGGAAAATAAAATATATTTACGTTATAGTTCATACTGTAGCTACAGAACTAAAACCAATGAAGTGCTTGTTGAATTTTTGTTTTATTTTATGTTTTGCCAATATGCAGGGAAACAACGAGTGAATGTACTGGTAATGGTAATCGTTTGCACAAAATATGTGAATTTTATCAAAGATAGTATAACAACTAAACTTTACAATAACAGAACTGCTAGTTAAAACGTTTTGTCTAATTATAGTATAGCTAAAATAATTAAACAGTAATCTATAAATTATTAAAGACAGTCCATAACATTAAATTAAATTCTTTATTGTCATTATAATTGGGCTATCCAAAGCTAAACAGATTGAATTACAGTGGATTATATTGTCGTACTTCCATTTTTCATTTTCCTCTATCCCAGGGGTTTTCAAACTGGGGGCCGCAGAAACGTTTCAGGGGGAGGTCGTAGCAAGGACACAAAATATACTATACTCCAAAGGTACTTAGTATCTATAGATTCAGTGGGTGAGTGGGTGGGGTCTCATTCAGGATGTGGAATGTTCTAGAGGGCTTTATGCTGAGAATGTTTTGGAGCCTATGCTCTATCCTATAACTGACGAATCATTTATTGTAAAGATTTAGTTGGAAGTTTTAGAGCCTTAGAAAAAAAATAAAGTTACTCCACCCTAATAAGTGAACGCGTTGTTATTATTATGCAAAATACATCGTTTAGGAAAGATATTCAGAAGAAATGAAGACTTTTATGCAAATATAAAATGCAATAAGAGAGCGACCAAATCACGTATTTAGTGCGAAGTTAGACGTAATGCTCTCACAAAAAGTTTATTGAAGAGCTTCGATGAACTTTTAACGTAAACAAAAACCCAAAGCTTTTAAAAGCTAACAGTAAGTAGGCTTTTAAATCTAAATGTGCAAAAATAGTAAAATGTTTCCCTAGTATTTAAAAAATAAACAATACATTATCAAGTGTAAAATACACAAAACAGTGTATTTTAATTAATTAACGAAATATATCCTCACATAGCGGACAACATTTTAGTTGAAGGATTAGAAAACTACTTTTGCCACTTTAATGTGCTTTTCAATCATATAGCGTCTTTTTTACGACTGAAGAAGACACATGACAGTGTCGAAACTAGTTTTCTCATCGCTGTACTAATACTTTGTTTCAAAAGTATGTTTTTTGTTAACAACTTTATGCTATGTATAAGTATAAGTTGCATTCAAACTTAAGTCTTTAAATTAACTAATCGCATAAATAATTTTATAAGTTTGAGTACACGGATTAACAGTTAACGTAGGAACAGGGGATGCAAAAGACTCGAGTTATAAACGTGATGCTACTAAACTCGCTTTGCATTTGCAGCTGTGTGTGAATTATAAGAATGATAATCAGTCAGTCCTTCTATTCGGTTAACAATAGCACTTTAAGTGGAGGATGCTGCTTATTGGTTGACTACCTTCAAAGTTATGAACAGCTATACCTGAACCTTGCACCCTCCACAGTGGCACAGTGGTATGTGGAGGGCAAAGCACAGATAGCCCATTGTGTAGCTTTGTGCTTAACTACAAACAAGCAAGCCTGAACCTTAGGGATCGCTAAACATGCCGCTTAGCCCAATGTGTGCATAAAGTCTTTTCAATTCGATGAAAAGGAAAAATAGTTTGCTTTTAACAACAATGGAGTTTGGAGAACGTATTTAGTGTTTTTTAACATCTACAGCACCTTATGTGACACATGGGCTAAAGCAGCAGAAGCAGAAACTCAAAGTTTCAGGCATACAACGCGAATGTCGAAACCCAATTTTTTAGTGTTATACACCCCTAGAATTACATCCACTTTCAAGTAAAGCTATACCAGTTTATAAATGTTGACCACCCATCAGCATCCAAATCTGCTCTTAATCGAAAGTAACCGTAATCAATAAAGAGGATTCTGTTTTATTATTGTTTTGGAAAAATTTTTGGGATATGAAATCGGTTTCATATATTAATAACTTGTTCATAATATTACATGTGCCTTGCCATAATTGTTTAATATGAACTTCAACATGTAAGTTTTATTTCTAAACAAAACAATCAAGTGTCATTTCATAATTTATTATAGACACGAAGTTTAAAGAAATGGTGGAAACCTGTTAAGTTTCAACTTAAAGTGAAATGTCTTCAGTTGAAGAGAACCTTTTTCAAAAATGTAATAATAACAGAAAATCTTAAATTTTCTGATAAGTGTGACAAACGTATTGATAAAAATTATTTTCTTTTTCCAAAAAAAAGATTATCCGAGGACGTTCTGAAGTACAGTGTCTTATTTAAGTCAGAAGCTTATAAGGGAAATGTCAATAATATTTGTTGTAGTGAGAAAGAAGTCATGGCTGGAGTTAGTCGGTAGCGAGTAGAATATACTGGCTACTTCATAAACATTTAACGGCCATTATTAGTTTGAAAATAAGAATAACAACAAAACCAAAACAAAATAGCATGTGGACTCGACAAGTGGCTGCTAAAAGATTGAAGTAAAACATGACCAAAAACCTGACAAAGCAGAGAATGTTTCCCTTAAAATTTCAAAAAATACCAAATCTGGGTAATGAAAATTAGTTACACCCATGAAAGTTATTCCATTTTTGATTTCGTTTTATGAAATTAACTCTTATTGAGCAAATTATTACTCTTAAGCCTGACAAAATATAAAGTTAATGTTTGTATGTTAAACTGAATAATGATGCCGCTAAAAATAAATTTAAAACGAAAAAGTAAACTAATATCAGTCAAATGAGTATAAATTGTTTTATAACTGTAGATAATCTAATAAGCCTGGGAAGGTAATCATATATGTTATGATTAACATAAAAGTTAAAGAATTTGCAAATAATGAAATACTAACAGGAGGTATTTTAAGTATATATATATATATCTAGAAGGTAGTTTCATTGATAATAGCTATTTATCCACAGCTTCACAAAATATGAGTTCTTAAACTAATTATAAATTCGATAAACAGATGATAAAATTTAGTCTATGTTGGTGATATAAACAATGATTAATAAGAAGAAACAAATCATGATAATGAGTATATAGATTTATGTGTTTGGTTTTGAGCCATACATAAATTAAGCCATTGGGGAGACAAACCAATCGATTCCTTGTTTAATTCATGTCTTTGTAAAACAAATTTGAGAGCAAACGTTACATGCAGCAATTACAAAAATGCTATTAAAAGATCATTATCCTACAATCGTAAAAATAAATAATGATGATGGAAAACCATAAAAAATTTAGATGGAGAAATAGCATACGAAAACGTTTATTATCAAATTAATAAATATAAATAAATAAAGTAAAATTAGTTGAAAAAAATATATATTTGTACAGATATAATACGTATGAAATATGTATAGAAGTATAAGTGAAAAGACACAAATCACTTTAATAGATATTATGACGATAATTTTAAAGATTATAAAAATACTATTACTCAAAAGCTGAGAAAAAGAAAAAATTAAATATTACAAAAATGTTTTCTATTTAATTTGGTGGGATTTTGTTTATAAGCTAATTGATAAAGAAAATAAGGAAGTAATATTGCCTGATTGTGGGGATGGTGGCAGAGAAAATGATAATGAAGCACCTAGAAATTTAGCAAATAAATTTAATAACTATTTTACAAAAGTAGCAGAAAAAAGTATACAACAAATTTATAATGAACTATATAAAACAGTTAATATAAATATAAATAAGAATTTCATGTTTTTCTTCCTACACGTAATGACGAAGTGGAAACTATAATTATGAAACTAAAAAAATGTGAAAAGTCCAGTGCTTGTGGAATTTCTTTAAGAATAGTAAAAATAATGTGTTTCTTATAATTTACGTATTACAGTAGGAACTTTTCCAAAAAGCCTAACACGGCTTCCTGGTTAGGGCGCTCGACACGCAATTTGCGTGTCGAAGTTTCGAATCCACATCACTAATCATGTTCACCTTTTCAGCCGTTAAATCAGATCTGCTTTATAAAAATAATTTGTTCACTTGTACCTAAAATTATGCAAAATTAAACATTTTTGGTAATTTATGAAATGTCTATGAGGACGGCAGTGCTGAACACAGACAGAGAGTAAAAACTTAACGGTTACAATAAAATAATATATTCGGCCACTCTTCGCGAAAGTAAAAAAGATCGCACATTAAATCATTGAATAATATTTTTGTTTTCATTTCAATCACGAGAAATTTGTGAGTAAAATGAGGAAATTATCGCGTCTATTTAAAAGCAAAACGTGCACTTGTTCGAATTTGATCAAGTAGTTTTTGATTTCTTATTGATCTATGAGCAATGTGTATATTTTCGTAGAATTTTGTTATATAAAACCAGCTTTATTTAACATTAATAATAGAGTTACATTTGTTTTGTTTGTTTATTAATGACGCAAAGCTACACAAGGAGATATTTACGCTGTGTTGGCTTTGGTTTGGTTTGTTTTGAATTTCGCGCAAAGCTACACGAGAGCTATCTGCGCTAGCCGTCCCTAATTTAGCAGTGTAAGACTAGAGGGAAGGCAGCTAGTCATCACCACCCACCGCCAATTCTTGGGCTACTCTTTTACCAACGAATAGTGGGATTGACCGTCACATTATAACGGCCTCACGGCTGAAAGGGCGAGCATGTTTAGTGGGACAGGGATTCAAACCCGCGACCCTCAGATTGCGAGTCGAGCGCCCTAACCACCTGGCCATGCCAGGCCCCCGTGTTGGCTGTTGAGCACAAAACTACAAATTGGGCTATCTGTACTGTGCTCTCTACGAGTATCGAAACCCGATTTTTAGTGTTCAAACTTTCCGCTGAGTGTTAGAATGAACATTGTTTAATTATAAATAGACCGTTTTTCAGATATGAAAAAAGTGCACTTTTTTATAGTTAGGGGCCATTTTACCGGAAAAAGTTGGATAACCCACAAGATAGGGTAAAATGGCCCCTATCTAACTCATAATAGCTGTAATTTAAAATAAATGCTTCATTTAGCAATGCATTTTTTTATTAAATTACTTAAATCATCATTTAAATTTTCACTATGGCAGAAATTAACCTAAGCCACTCATCATAAAGCGATCTCATATTGTGCAAAATCATTGAAACTTAACCTGCTTTTAATGAAATATTTGGCAGTCTATAATAACTAATTATTTGAAATCCACAAAGTGAATTTTCGTAAGATATCTAACTTGTAACAATAAAAAAGATCAAAGATTTTATCTTAGATTAAAGTTGTTCAAAAACAAACAAACAAAAAAATTAAGTAGAGCTTTGATAATTCACATTTGCGCCTATCCCACCAGTGTGTTTATGTATGTGGTTAAGTGAACAATATTTGCGGATAAATCAATGTTTCGAGTATTGTTTACCAAAAATCAGAGAACTGGGTAATTGAATATAGAAAACTGGCATACAATAGTTTTCTTTTCAATACTAAAATGTTTAAAATATATATTTTAAAGAGCATAAGGTATGGAGAACCATTCACGGGTTCGAATCCTCGTCCCACCAAACATGCTCGCCCTTTCAGCCGTGGGGGCGTTATAAGTGACGGTCAATCCCAGTATTCGTGGATAAAAGAGTAGCCCAAGAATTGGCGGTTAGTGGTGATGACTAGCTGCCTTCTCTCTAGTCTTACACTGCTAAATTAGGGACGGCTAGCGCAGATAGCCCTCGTGTAGCTTTGCGTGAAATTCAAAACAACAAAACAAACAAACAAGGAAGAACCATTAATCATTCATTAATAATGTTCTAACGAAAGAAGACTAATCTGCCCCCCAATGACACAGCGGTATGTCTGCGGACTTATAACGCTAGAATCCGGGTTTTGATACCCGTGGTGGACAGAGCACAGCTAGCCCATTGTGTAGCTTTGTGCTTAATTACAAACAAACAAACAAGGCCTAATCTGAACAATATTCCCTTTATTTTTCACGAGTACACTCTAAGAATCTAATAACAAGCACTATAACATTGCTATTAGTTTATATTTGCTGTTAGTTACATTTCTGAGCGTTAGAAAACAGAGAGAGAGAGCGTTGCCAAATGGTAAAATAAAATACTTATCTTTAATTTATTGTCCAAGAAAAGTTTAAAATAAAGTTTTATATAGTTTGAGAGAATTTAAAACCGTGTTAACAATAAGAAAAGATGAAAAATATCAACATGCAAACTGTATGTAGCCTTACATTTGTCTCTGTCAAATGTACTAGTTGATTCTTGTGTCACACATTTGTCGCAGTAACTTCAAATTAAGAATTCTGTTAAGCGTTAAAGACAAAGTTAAAAAATGCAGTGCTCATTGGTCGTTTATTTTTACGAGTGTGAGTCTTGTTGGATTTATTTGTTTGTAATTAAGCACAAAGCTACACAATGGGCTATTTGTGCTTTGCCCACCACGGGTATTGAAACCCGTTTCTAGCGGTATAAGTCCGCAAGAATACCGCTATGCCACTGAGGAGGCATCTTGTTGAAAGTGCAAAAGGACAATTGCACCGACCTTGCAAGAAACCTCGTCAAAACGCTATTTTTGACAAATCTCCCAAGATACGCCCACACGCTCTCATCAAAACGGAAAATGTAAAGGAACTTCTTCCTAAGAAGATTTCGTTCTATTTTTTTTTTTTTGGACTAAAATAAAAATTGATCCCCAATATTCTTTTCGGTTTTATGACTTCTACTAAAACCGCAAACATTCCAATAGTCTCTGAGGTGAGAAAAGATGGTAAGAGGCTTGATCCATCCGTTTGTTTAGTTCCATTCCGCCACCAGTACCGTAAAACCTCAGCCACTTTTAGCAACACTGGCTGCATGAAATAAGGTAATTAATCTTGTCTATTTGTAGTATTCAGTAAAAAAAATGTGGCCAATTTTAGAGGTTAATGATAAATATTTAGTATTCTTACAGCATCATCGTATACTTTTACACGATTGTTTTTACGTTCTTTCAAAAATCTTTGTTTACGAAAATCAAAGAGAAGAACACTACTTTCCTGGATGTTTAATATATACTGGTATATATAAAATATTCTGATATTCCAAACTCTTAGGTGACTGAAAGTGTCGTTTAAGTAGAGACAGGATAGAAAAGTTGGTCACATTCTCGGACACAAGTAACTGAGCGCAGTAATAATGAAATACAGAAATGAGTTTTATGACCAATTAGGTGTATCGTATATTCCATAGACGTTACTTATCCGAAATTCATACTTTATTTTATACGCATGCCTGTGATTAGAACATAACTAATAAAGATAGCACTACGATAAATGTTAATTTCCGTCTTCGAGTCTCCAGAATTTTAGAATTTTCGCGCATAGTTGCACAAGAGTAATTAATGTAATTCATTCCGAATTTAAAAATGAAATGGAACATCTTTTACAATATAAGCAGCGTGATAGCTATGTAATGATTTTCAATGTCTATGTTGTAAATATTTGTTAGGAACTCGCACCAACAGAAAGAATCTGCTTAGTGAGGGTAAAATACAGAAAATAGACGGAGTGTTGGGTATATCAAAAAATGTACACTGAACTTCCGAGAAATAGATGTGATGGTAAATAAGTAAAAAGTAGATTTGTAGTTAAAAGTTATTTAATTTTAAAGTACCACAAACCACTAGATGTCTCGCGATGTAGACCTTGTATTCTCGGAACGTGTTTTATTCAACAGTATTAATTAAATACGCACTGCTTGATTTTTTCCATCCTTATGTTTTACATGAATTTGTTATCAGTCTCATCTATAGAGGGAGGGGGGAAGAGATGTTGTTCAGATAGATACCAGTTTCTGTTAATAGCGGGCCTGGCATGGCGTGTTGATTATGGCGTTCGTCTCGTAGGCTGCGGGTTCGGATCTTCTCACTGAAAATGCACGCCCTTTCAGCCGTGGGGGGCGTTATAATGTTACCGGGAAGTTTACTGCTTGAACAAATAAAATAAACGGTTTTTTGTATGTGGCAGCTGACTGGAGAAGTAAATAAAAAAAAAGCAGACACCGAACAATATTAAAGTCTTAACGTATATGTAATGAGTACCCCGTACACAACTACCGAGTACGGAGAATTTATAACTGAAAGTACTAAAGTGAGAACCGTAAATTTTGCCTTATTTACTTGATTTTTTAAAAAATATTTCCCTTCTTATACAATCAAAAGTAAATGCAACGTATAGAGTACAAGAGCAAATGTTTCTATAATCAATAAAATAATTATATACGTGAGAGACATCAGAAACTACTGTAAACGTTGTAAGCGTTGAAGGCTCGTTCTAGTACTGATGCTGGTCTTTACTGTCAATTACAGTGAGATACGAATTTCCAGTCGTTGTTAGATCGAATATACATCGTAATTTCAGCTATTCAGAGCCCAAATAAAGTTTCTGTTGTAGCGAAGAATTGTTCTTGGAGAAGTTGCACACCGATCTATAGAAAATTAGCTATCTTAAAGAGTTATTTATTTTGTTGCAACAAAAAATTAGAAGGATGAAAATATGTATAAATACTCTATAGATTTATTTATTTGCTTTAAAATGTTCAAAAACTCAGAGACTTATTAGACTAGAAATAGGTAGATTAGGCCTATTTAGTTAACCCTTTGTGCAAATAACTATAAAGATATGTACTTAAGCAAAGCTTTTAAAGTTCCAATCAAAATTAATTTATAAATCTGACATTTCAAGGAACTTTTCCACTTCAGATTGAAATGTAAATAATTTTTGTAACTAGCTAGGCCTAACGAAGGACGGTCACTTGAAACGTTATCTTTCTAAAATAAATTAAATGTTGCATACGGATTCATAAACTTTCTCAAGTGCAGTGCTGATTTCTGAGTTAACATAACTATTAAAAAACAAGTATTATTTGTTTGATACATGGGTCATCTGAGACTTGCTGGTTTTAAGTGTTTTTTTTTTATTTAAGTTATAATACCCCTCTTCCATAATCTCATACATTCAGTACACATTTATGTGAAATACATACATATAGATATATATATGAGCACTTATATACGCACAAATGTTCATTAATATGTAGGAAACATATCTGGTTATATTCAGAACAAAAGTCAAATGTATATCAGATTTTGCTATTAAACATGTACATTGATATAATTACAAAACAGCTGAAGTGGAGCGCAGCCATGTTATTCTTATCAGATCTGCGGAATACAGATTGTTTCCAGTTTGTTAAAGCATAATTTATACTGTTTCCTGAAACTAGATTGATGGAAAGAAAAACTAATCTTTCGTTAGTAAAATAACGTTTTTTGGTTATACATCATTGTTTAAATTGTAATAAAATATTGATATCAAACGTAGCTTTTCATAGAGCCTCCATAATTGGTGTATTTGTTTGTAATTAAACACACAGCTATACATTGGACTATCTGTGCTCTGCTCATCACGGTTATCGAAACCCGGTTTCTAGCGTTGTAAGTCCGCAGACATTCCACTGTTCCACTATGGGGTTGATAAGTACATAAACAGAAAATAGGAATAATGAGTAAGAAGCAATGACCTTCAGGTACTTTGCTCGCATAGAACAATTGATGGTAGGTAAAGTTTAGCTAATAACGCATCAATGCTTTCATTGAAAAGTGACTTTGATAAAGTTTCCTGCACGAAATGTAATGTAGATGAAGACTTAGATACGAGGAAAACTGATTGAGTTACAATCTGACAAAACCCTAACAAATCAGATCGGTATATATAAAATGTTAATACTTTTCAAGAAACTTTGATCACCCGTTTTAAGTTATAGTAAAGAACTTAAGACGTTTTACCATGTGTAAGCACAACTATATATTATACACATATATAAACATTTAGTTTTTCCTAGCCCTCACCACTGTTTAGTCCTAGTTTAAAATTTCTCTTTCAGCTGAGTTAATAGACTTAGCAAACAAGCCAGCCTCTACTCTATTTAAATGTAAACCTATTTTAAGTTATAGTAAAGAACTTAAGACGTTTTACCATGTGTAAGCACAACTATATATTATATACATATACAAACATTTAGTTTTTCCTGGCCCTCACCACTGTTTAGTCCTAGTTTAAAATTTCTCTTTAAGCTGAGTTAATAGACTTAGCAAACAAGCCAGCCCCTACTCTATTTAAATGTAAACCTATTTTAAGTTATAGTAAAGAACTTAAGACGTTTTACCATGTGTAAGCACAACTATATATTATAGACATATACAAACATTAACAAATCGTTTCTAGTGGTGCTCTCGTTAAAAATAAAAAAAATAAGCATTTGCTCTTTTGAGTAACAGTCTCTTAACTTTCCAGAATGTTAATGTGAAATATATTATGTCAAATTGGCGTCACGTCTTGCACAAGTCTTTCGGGATTCTAGCATAATATCTACATTACTATGCTCTATAATCACAAAGTAAAACGTTTTAACTTTTTTATTACCAGAACACTCTAGCAAATTACTCTGTTTTAGACATCTGGAAATAAGCAAAAATTGTTTTATTTTCTTTTACATATGAAACGAATAATTACATTATCCTTGAGACGACAATGTTAGAATAAAAGTATTTTAAAGAAACAGTGAGGATTTTTCTGACAAATACTTTTTGATCTCATTTACATTTTTTTTTAGATAAGTTGAAAAGTGAATTTGTCTGTCTGTCTAACACTTTATCACACTAAATGTTTTTCATTTTAAAATACAAAATAATTGTCTGATATTAATCAACAGTCAGCTTTATCTCAATTTTTATTGGTCAAGGAATCGACTAAATATTTTTTGATCGGCAGCCAGGTGGTTAAGGTTTTGGACTCGCAATCTGCGGGTCGCGGGTTCGAATCCCCCGTCCCACCAAACATGCTCGCCCTTTCGGCTGTGGTGGCGTTATAATGTGACGGTCAGTCCTACTATTCGTTGGTAAAAGAGTAGTCCAAGAGTTGGCGGTGGCTGGTGATGAATAGCTGTCCTCCCTCTAGTCTTTCACTGCTAAATTAAGGACGGCTAGCGCAGATAGCCCTCGTGTGGCTTTGCGCGAAATTCAAAACAAACCAACTGATCGGTGAATGATTTATCTTGTTTACTGCTTATATTTGGTTTGTTTTTGTAATTAACTTATCGTAATTATTGAAATATTCAATTACATAACATGAAGTATCGGTTACCTAATTATTGGTAAAACCTGTAAGTGTTTAATATGCTCAATCTAATGCTATAATATATAGGATTTAAGAACTAATCTGACAACTGCTACATTTCGGGTTTGGTTAAAAGGTTGAATTAAATATAAGTACTTAATCATTTTAGCAATAAGGAAGATTGAAAAATCAAAAAGATACACATACTACCTCACCCTTCTAACGTTGTTGCATATTTCTTCCTTTGAAATAACAGTCTAAAATAAGAAAAAAATATTTCCCCACTTATCTCATTACCAGCTTAGTCTTCAGTAGAACCGTATTTGCTTATTCTAAGACAATTTTATTCCTCAACTTCCCCAAAGAAAGCAATAAAGTCCAAATTCGGGCACATTACTACAGTAGTTTATTTGCCTAATGCTAAAGGCGAAGTTCGGGTGATAGGCATAAGGCTTTTAAGTGATGAAAGACAGTTGTTTTATAGTTTCAGTTTTGGAAGCTAAATTGAAACATGTAAAATTTTCCTTTATTTTCCATTATACATCATATGATGAACGATTACAATGATTAACAGTATAGTATTGATATAATAATGGAATGAGTAAAGATAACCGAAAAAAAAAATATCTCGGAGATCACGCAAAACAAAATTATGAATACTTTAATACTAGTAGGTTTATTAATAGTTCGTTTTGAGTTTACTTACTTATGATTTCTCCGAAAAGGATCACCTGTTTTAACCATTCGCACTACTGTACAGTAGTGTGTTGTCTGTCAGTCAGTCAGTAGACACTAAAATGACGCCACATAAGGGACGCTGCAGTTTGTATTGTCGAAATGTCAGTAACACGTGCGCATGAATCACGAGAAGGATTATGCACTCTGTAGGCTACAACACAGCAAGAAATGAAAATATTTGTTACTCTTGATTTAGGTTTTATTTACTCTTGAAGCAAAACACTTTCATGGATTCTTGGGAAGTACATTTAGTAAGTATTATGCTATTGCAAGTTGCAGATTTTACAGTAAAGAATAATATTTTTAAAACAGATACGACGTTAGATTGTTAAATGTTGAATACTAAAACTTTCTTTACCGTTAAAACTTGTGTATTTGAGAACGATCGCAATAGCGATCGAAACTACGTACCTGTTTTAAAAATATTATTTCTTGCTGTAAAATCTGCAATTTGTAATAAAATAATACTAGCAAAGCACCAAACGTATACATGAAATTATTGTATGTATAGAAATTAATGGAAAAGTTGTGACGTAATTACAAACGTTTAAATACAAATGCTTGCAATATCTGAAACAAGCACTGAAAGATAGGCTCAATAAAAGCAAAAGAAAACGTTTATATGGTGGAAGTTTCGAGTGACTGACTTGATTTTGATCCTTTCTCCTGTTTAAAAGGATCTTGTTCATCGGTAAAAGCAGCTAATCACATTTAATTATTTCGTAATTTTCTCATAAAAGCTTTATTTGGGTACTTTAAAAGACAAAATCCTCTAAACGTCCGTCCAATGTCATATCTTTCTTTCCTTATTACATGATATGCATTATTTCATCTACTAGAACAATAAATAACAATGTTCAGAGAAAAACACATATATGATATACACTATTTCCTTGTGTACGATTGTTATAACCACAGTTATTTTTTTCTTGTTTGTAACAAGCCTTTTCACACATAATCGGCTTTTCCTCTTCTGGGAAAGACAGAATTTTATATATAAATCTGTCATCATCATCTCTTTTTATATATTTACAAATGAGTTTCTGCTTGCTGTCAGCCGTATCTAGAAGATAAAGAATAATCAAATTCCTTCTGGTCCTGCTGCTGTCCTCTGAAAGATCTCGTACAACAATTGAAGCGATTTTTGAATTCAGTGTTGAATCTTTCCTGTAATAATCATAACAAAACGTCAAGATACAGAAATTTGTTTGGTGCTCAAACACAAGTACTTAATGTACAGTTATTATAAGAATAATAAGTTGTGTATTTTAACCCTAATGAAGCCGCAAATGCGAAACGTTGGCTAATATATATATATATAGAGAGAGATCTGGAATATAAAGATAATTTTTTCTAAACTTTATAACAATAATACATCATTGCTCTATTGAATTATATTGTAAAAGTACAATATAAGGTAGTGACAAAATTAGGTTTCTATACTGTTGAAGTTGAACTAACAGTGTAATAGTAAGCACGTTTTTTACATTTATTGAATATTTCTGATATTACTTTATCATTTTTTTCTCTTTAAAGAAACTTCAATACTTGTAACGTCCTACAAAAATTAGTGTTATAACCACATTAAAGTATTAATAAAATGATTATTTTCTTCTTACTTGTGAAATAACAAAATTGTAAATAACTTTTATCTTCTTTATCACGCATGCTTTATAATTTAAAAAAAGTATACAAAGCTATAATGTTGTTTAGATATAATTCTTGCTTGTTCATTCCGTAAATTTCATACCACAAAAATATCATTTTGTCTGGAATTATAATTGTGAGATGAAAATTACTCACAGAATCGCCGTAGGAGAAAGAAAAAGATAACTGATTAAACAGAAAAATGAGAAAATTATGTTAAAACGATTTTGAATATGCACATCATCACGACACGTGACAACCACAGTCTATATAAACTCGCAAAAGAAAGACATGTATTAGAATTAAATTTTGATATTCTTTATTGTTACGTAGGTTGTATGATGCCATAGAAAGTTGAATGCATTTTCGTGGCAAAATATTCATACACTCAATGGCCCAGCATGGCCAGGTGGTTAGGGCGCTCGACTCGCAATCTGAGGGTCGCGGGTTCGAATCCTCGTTACACCAAACGTGCTCGCCCTTTCAGCCGTGGGGGCGTTATAAGTGACGGTCACTCCCACTATTCGTTGGTAAAATAGTAGCCCAAGAGTTGGCGGTGGGTGGTAATGACTAGCTGCCTTCCCTCTAGTCTTACACTGGGGACCGCTAGTGCAGATAGCCCTCGTTTTGCTTTGCGCAAAATTCATAACAAACATACACTCAAATCATAAAGATGTGTTAGAATTTCCAAGACAGGGATACCCCTTGTACAAAAAGGCATTGGAAAACAAATAATCAGTTTGGGGAACAAGTCTATCTAGAAAGAAACCTGAAACAAGTTGTACCCCAGCAGTGGTAAACAAAATGCGACGTCTTGTAACAAGTGAGAATCCACGAACACAATGAACAGAGGCAAAAGTTGTTCTGTTGCATCAAGCAACAGTACGCAACATCAAGAAGGATCTCCGAATGGAAAAGGGATACAAACTACTTTATCGACGTATCCTTTCAACCGTTGCATACCTCAAGTAGCTGGAGAATGAAATGAGTGTCCTTGCTAATTCATTCTTAGATATATCAGTAAAGTCGCTGGACACAATTTCTGTGCAAACGGGTTGTTGAAATGGATGCTTGGAAACCGTCGTTTTCGTACACTAGAGAAACTATCGTAAGTCTGCAGGTAGAAGTGGCGTGCTTTGAACATGAAAACCTTTCGACGGAGTCTTTTGCAATGAAAACTACGTTGCAGGGCTATTGTCAAATGCATGGTTGCATGTATTGATTTGGACTATAAAACGTGATGAGGCATACGAATCGTTTTAACATAACACACTCAACCTCTGGACAAAAATTTTAGGCGTTTTAGTAACACATCTCTAAACATCGTTTTATACATTTCTAATATTAACCAGCCTCTTTTCTCTTTATCATCTAGACTTACATTGTAGATGGCATACACGAAAGGGTTGTAACAAGAATTGCTCATGGCCAGCCAGTGACAGCAGAACCAAATGACATTGATATATTTGTAGCTGTCGAATAGAAACAAATCATTGGAAAATGGAAAAAAATAACAAAAAAAGGCAAGTTACCCTATTTTGTAAATTTACTAAGATTGCTGTTAGTTAAAAACCTATTTTAGAGAAAAGAATGGCAAAGAACAAGATAAAATTTTGAATAATGTAAAAGAATAATTAGTAAAATTTCTCAACCAACACGGTAACATATTTTACTTTTTTATTATTAATTATAATTAGTTTTACTACAAAATTGTCAAAAAATATCAGTACGTTAGGTCCTGAACTCTTAGGAGTGTTAAAGGTAAAACATTACATACTGTGTTCGGGCCTACTATAAAATAAAATTGAAAACAAAACCCTCAAAAGTGATACCTTAGGTAGTTGAAAGAGGATAAGCATTATATACTTGTCCAAGTAGAAGAAATATACAATCATAAGATAACTGTAAATGTTAATACTAGAGCTATGACAAGGCCAAGCATTATTATAGAATAAAATCATGTAAACCAGCCATCTAAGTTTATTACCATACAAGTCATACACCTGCTGATCACTCATGTGATCTAAATTGGAAACGGCTGGTTCTTCGCTTGTTCTGTATATACACAGTGATCTCACACAGCCTTCTTTCATCACTTAAGTTAATCACTCGGATTAAAGTGTTCTAAGTTATTCACGAACCATGGGTAGACTTTAAATAAGATATCAGATATTTAAATCACTTGAATAGCTACAGAACGAATGGAAGTTACCCAAACCCAGTCGATTGTTTAAAACTAAATACAAGTGTCTCGAATTATTGTTAGCGGAACAGAGAACTGCTTCCAAATCAATGTTATGCAACAGCTCAGACAATACAACTGGATAAGGCAGACCACCGTTCATAACAGAAGAAGGCGATTGCTGTTCATCTGTTATGGCTCACTGCAATTACAAACTGAATCGATTTGCTTGGAGCAGCAAGTGAAAGCCAATTATATAAATGGTTAAAACAGATGTTAAAAAACCAGATAATCAGTGATATTGATTCTACTTCCAACGAACAATAAAATAACTCCTCTGAATGGTGCCAGTAACAAGTCGATTAGACCAACAATATGTGGAACAATATTGTAATGGTGACAATAATAGACATCCATTGGGCTAACAATACGTAGAATAGTATTGCATTATGGGCAATAATACAAATAAATTATATCAACAACATGTGAAATAGTATTTCAATGGTACCAATAATACATGTCCATTGAACCAACAATATGTAGAACAATATTACAATGGTGCCAATAACACAAGTACTTTGGAGCAACCATATATGGAATAGTATTGCAATAACACAGTATTCCAAATTGTAATGATGCCAATAACACGTCCATAGGATCCACAATATATATAACAGTATTTAATTTTCACTTCACCTTGTATACAAAAGGAGTGACCTGCACGTTTATAGAACTTTATTCCTATCGAGCGTGTATGAGATGCTTTTGGAAGACACATCACACCTTTTGAAGTGACTGCAAAAACTAAAGATACTTTTGGAAAAAGCTCCTTCAAGGGTATTCCACTGTGCCACTTGGGGGCTTAGATGTAAGTCTCTGGGTTTATAATACTTAAAAATCGAATTTCGATACCAGTAGTGGCCAGGGAACAGACACCCATTGTGCAGCTTTGGGATCAACAACAAACAAACAAGTTTCTGAACTTTATGACTGCGTTTCAAATAGCAGGAAATTAAGACGTCATTTTAATTAAGGAAATCTGCGCTTGGCAACTTAAGACCACGTCGTTTAAGTTTTATTAATATCATTAATCTATACACAGAAAGATGTGTTTAATCAAAAATAACAAATCAACATTTAAAAACTAGTTATATATATCTATAACAAGCTCTTCTACCAATGCTACTTTAAGAAAACCTGTATGTGTTGTTTTTAATACTTCAGAGGTTGTCTTAATTATAACTTTCGTTTTAATAAATTATATTATATAGATAAGTAAAATTCTAGAAATCTTTTAAAGCTGAGATTTTTATAACTCAACCGAGGATCAGCTGTAAAATTAAATACGGTATCGGCTTTACTTTGTTAAACAGAGTAATAAAATGCGAATACCAAAACTAACTTTTGTAATCAAATATTGACACTCCGTTTGTTATTATTTCAGCTGTATAAGAATTAATATTTTAAATAAGAAAACACCAGGACCTTTATGTACACATAAGTAATTGCTCATTACAAGCTTCTAAAGGATCGAATAAATACAGCAAGGTTAATTTCTGTTTTTTGAATGCTATTGTTACAAAATTCGATAATTAAAGAATTATGATCTGTGTATTCAGAGGATTAACAAACAAATAATAATCTTAAGAACCGCTTATTGTATTATAAATGTCACAAAGATAACCATAGAAGGAAATATTAATGTAATGCAGACTATACGTCAGACTATTTCTTACTGTATGTATGGATTATAAGAAAAAGCGGTAAAAATTAGACCGTTTAATTATTTGCATACATACTTACTTATTGATTGTGGGATAGACTTCTTGTAGGATATTATAGGTTTGGAATGGTAACCAACAGATGGTAAAAACGGCAACTACAATGAACAACATCTTAATGACCTACAGCAAAGAAACAAAAACGAAAAAACGGAGATCTAATAGGAATTGGTTATACTCATTAAAAATCAGCTTAAATCTCAACATTTTATCTTGCAATAAATCATGATTTTAATTTGAAACGCTGGTCAATAACTTTAGAAGGTCTTGTATGTGAGAAAATTTCTGCAAGTCTGGTTACAAAAAACAAATCATGAAACATTGAAACTTTCAGTCTGAATGGCACTTTATGCCCAAGTGAGCTCAGTCAGCTCCTAAGATGGAGGTATAACAGTTTCTAATTTTGAACTACTCAACCGAGGAAAGGTAGCCTTCCATCAACAACCACTGCCATAAGTGATTTATCCTGTTCTTGAAACCAAATAATCTTCCTGTGGGTCATCGGCAAGTTTATGGACTAAAAACGCTAAAATTCGGAGTTCGCTTCCCCGCGGTGGATAGACTGTAGCTATGCACTAATGAAGCAACAAAATGAAATAATGAGACTGACTGGCATTTTTATAATGTGCCCACAGCTGAAAATGCGTATCAGGGTTCACCAGCAATACGGTAGGGACCTTGAACTTTTCAATTTCCAGCTAGACAAGTCACAACTGGTCCTATCTTTGAGGCCACACCTGGTCCTACCTATGAGATATGGTTTCATAATACACAAATATCATGCATAATATATATGAATAGATCATCAACTGTAAATACAATAAATAAATAAAATAATTTGAAAAGTTGTTTTACCTGAACATTATGAATGGTACAAAGACTATCCATTACACAACGAACTGAAACTAACAAACAAACGTTAATTATAATGAAACAAACAATAAAAGAACATTTAGTAAAATATAAGCCTCATATAGACTAATTTCGAAATTGGTGTTTAGTATTTGAAATCACTGTATCTCGACAAAAAAATTTTCTATATATACATATATATATATACAAACACTGTATACATATTGGCATATCGAATAATGTAGTTACCCAAGCTAGTAGTTTTGATTCATTAATTTTATAGTTCAAGAACAAGTACGTAAAGATTGTTTGTTCACTTATTGGTGAGTTATTTGGTGTCGTTGCCTGTCTTCCTAATGTTGACCAACGGCTACTATCTTCACTTACCAGATTGTCTGTTCTGTTCACAACAAACACATCAATTCACTTGAATTAGGCAATTTTTTTCTTCTTCTTTAACAAGCTTGATTAGCTATTAGCCAGCACATTCACTTCTTTAAAAGTTCTATTTCGAGAACAAAGTGGACGTTTAATCAATCGAAGAGAAAGTTTCGTTGCTTATAAACAATTACACTGAGTAGTGGTTGACCACAGAAATGTTTAATTAGATTCTTACATGGCTACTTGCGTACGTTCTCTCAAAATTTGCATTTTAATTTTTACTTTGAATCGCTATTTGCAATAAACTTTAAGACGGTGTTAAATGGCAACTAGATACCAACTTTTGTAGTGTCCGAGATCTTAAAACAAAAATACTTATATTTCTTTCAGGTTTTCGTCTATTTTTCTTGTTTTGACACTCTTTGTTTCTTAAGTTTCTTTGGAGCTGAACCAGATTACATTCTTGCACAATATCCCTTCGTTGAAAGTCTACAAAAAACAACTCCGAAGAAAACATAGTGAAATATGAATATTTCTATATTTATAATGGTTTTCAAACGAGGGCCAAAACTCGAGCACTTTCGAATAGTTCACTATTGTCTATAAGGAGAATAAAAGGTTATGTTTAATGAGAGTAATGGAATATATAGGCACGGATGTCGACATCACGTAAACGAAATGTTAATATTGAACATCCGGTTTACGTGACGTCGCAATCCGTGTCTATATATTTCATCATACTCATTAAACATAACCCTATATTCTCCTGATGAAGAATGGTGAACTGTTCGAAAGCGCTTGAGTTTTGGGTCTGATCTGAAAACCATTACAACTTTAGTATGTGATCCTGTGTGCTAACTTCTTAATCAGAATCTATAATATTTAATTAGATAAACTTACTGCATCGCGGAGTCTAAGAAATTAGAATCGCAACTAAACTTAATACATGCTGTGAAATAACACAATGTTTTGATAGTTTAATAAAAACGCACTAAAAGTTTATTTAAAAGTAGACTAATGTTATTTCTTTGCTTAATGTATATCCAGTGGAAATCCATCTCGTTTGAGAAGTAATTTTCTTGCCTTTTGTGATTATTGTTTACCTTCATACATGCATTTCTCTCTCTCCCTAAATTATTTCTTGGACATAAACAAACAGATGATACAGCCAATCACGCTGTTATTTTATTATTTTCAAATGTTTAATTTCTACCGTCAACTTCAATTATATGTCCAGTTTAAAATTTGGGATGAGCTTAAATTTTAATTTTTAAATACTTTTTTCGTAAGACTGGTGACGGATTTATTATTATATATTTATTTTAATATCAACGTTTGTTTAGATTAAATTTATATTTAGAAACATGCATAGCTTATAATGTTAAATACAGATCGCAAAACTCCCGCCAATTCTCTAAATTTGTAGAAG